GGAAAAAGTAAAAAAAAAATGAAAAAAAAATTGTTTCCTAAAAAATCATTTTTTTATCAAAGTTTAGTGTTCGTTTGGCCTTCGTTTGCATCAAAATTGTCCATGAAAGTGAAATTTTTTTTTTTACATTTGGTTATGAAATTTGTTTTCATTTCTAAAAAAAAAAAAAGTCAAAAATGACTGCAGAGTCTGGATGAGAATTGGTTTTCACCAATTTTAGGGAAAACCAGACGCGTAGCCTCCAGCCAAGAAATTATTGTCAATCAAACATGCATTTTTTCAAAAAGATGGAAAATGGTTTCCAATTCCATAGAAAAATAGCACTATCAAATAGGGCCTAAGCTTAAAAAGTTTACTAGTAAGTAAATTCACTGGTAAATAATAAAATAGGTCTTAAAATATTAATTAATTTTTTATTTGTCAAAGTTAAAAATAAGTAACTTGTTTATAAAATAACATACTGAAAAAGTTCTTGTCGAGGTGAATAATAGACTCAATAAAGAGTTATTTACCCTTTTAAATATACTGAATTTTTTTTATACAAATATAATTGAGAACTAATATGAGAGAAGGGGAGAATTACAAGTAGTAATTTATCGTGAATTGACAAATTTGAGAGAGTAATTTGTTTATTCTAAAATTGGGTTAATTTCATTTTCCCTTCAGTTTAACTCAAAATACAAAATGAAACATACTGTTAATTTAAAGCTAAAAGCTTTTAAAAAATGGCTATTTTTTTATAATTCAATAATGTTTTATATATATAGACTTAATAAATTTAAAAGATTCAAAAATATTTTTTTTTTCGCGTATTAGACTAGAAATCGAACTACATTTTATTTATACTCGCAAAACAAATATAGGAGGATATACACGATGTCAGACGCTCAACTTATAGCGTATTTTCATATAGTCAACGAACTCTATTTATTCTAAGATGGTCATTGAAATTTTATTTGATTTGATCACTCGATTAAATATGTTATTTTTATTGACGAGATATTCAGCATAACACACGACAATTTGACGTGGCGCCAATTCGGTGAAGGGTCTTCACATTGGACATTTCCTTAAAAAAAAGAAAAAAACAATCTTAAGATAACTTTAAAAATTATAGTAAAGTCAACTTTGTTAAGTTATGAATTTTCACGTGTAGGAAATAATATTTTATTCACTGCATAAATAGAGCTAAAAACAAGAAGAAGATTACTTCCAGAATAAAATAAAAAATAGTGGTCACATTAAAAATAGAGGAAATTACATAATTCTAGGTATTTAAATATCACAATTCAAAAATCAGGGCTAAAGTTTCATTATGCATAAATCAGGTATCTATAAATTAAATATTACCCACCCAATTTACAAACCCTAATAATTTCAATTCTCATTTTCTCTCTCTCTACATCTCTCATTCTCTCCTTTCTTTCCCCTCTGCGCTGCAACCGTTGAAACTCCGGTGATCGACGACTAAGCTGCACCGACCAATACACCTCATGCCACAAGTGTCGCTACCAGATCGCCATCTTCTTCCAATCATCGCGATGAGCGACTCTCATCTTCACGTGCAGCGGCGAAGCAACGCCAATCTGTGCGGCTTCTCTCTCAACGCCGATCTGTGTTGTTGTGGGCTCAGATCAACGGTTGGAGCGGAGCTGGTGATTAGGTCCTGCGGTGGGTGAGATCTACTCTGTGATGGTGGGCTGGATTAATATAGTTTTCAAATGCCTTCATCTGATTGTTCTTTCCTTAACCTTGCAGATGAATATTGATTGAAACATAAAAAATTGATTTGTAAGAAATTTTTATTGTTGCTCTGTTTTTTTTTAGATGATCAGTGTGATGAGTTTTAGGCCTACAATTAGTACTTTATACTGAGATTCATTTTTTGAAGATGGCTGTTGTGGTTTATCAGCAAACCTTGGCTCGGTGATGGTGGGTTTGAGTGTT